CCAGCCCAAGCCCCAGCCCCTCTTCCAGGCCTCGCTGCCGCCACCCGCTGCTGCAGCCCCGCAGGACAGCGCTGCTAAGGAAGCTGGCGCCGGGGCTGACCCGCACAGCGCCGCACAGCCCGACCCCTCCACCATGACACCCCAGGTAAGAGCAGGGGGTTCCGGCAGGCCAAGCTGGGAGCTCTGGGTGGGGGGACTGGTACCGCGGATCGCACATGTCCTTTGAGCTAAAGAGAGGTTGGGTTAAGGGCAAGCGCATGGGCAGCAACTCAGTAAGTGAATCGTTTTTAAATGACCCAAAATATTTGGCTTTCCAGGAGCCTAGTGGGGTGGTGTCTGTTCCCAGACTCCAGTGGGACAAATGCACAAGGGTTTTCAACCCTTGGGCTCCAGCGCTGCAGGGGCTTGTCTTAAACCTGTCAGACCCCAGTTCTGTAAAATATAATGTGCAGGTGAACTTCACCCAGTGCCTATTGGCTCCAGTTTGCCCACTTCCAGATGCACCTTGTATGTTGTGTGTTGCAGGATCAGCACCTAATCCTGTCCTTTGGAGCAGTGCACTTTTCTGTGGAGGGTTGTGTGCTCTGGTCCCCTAATCTTCCAATGTGCACACATTTAGCTTCACACATGTAAACAGACCCGTGGGATTATTCACTTGTAGTAAATGAGAAACATCTCCCTTGCTTCAGGTGAAGTCGTTATGTAAGATTGTCACTGAGGCCCTGTATTGTAGTTGTAGCCGATTAAGACTCTAGCGAGGCTTTGCATGGTCACAGGGATCTGCCTGTACAGATCCAGTTGCAGATTCAATGCTGAAGCACGTGCTTTAAAACATTTAACTTTGTTTTCATGAGTTTAACACAGACAAGTGTTTTTATTTATGAGTTGACTTTTGGTTTTCAGCTTTAAAACTGTTTGAAAAGCTATGTAGATTTTAAATTACAGACACTTAAAATTATTATCCTTTAGGGCTATTTTTTTTATATCCACTTAATTGCATACTGGAGTATGTCTACGTGTGAAATAGGGTTGTTTCCAACAGACCCTACTATTCTTGGTCATCCATAGACAAGGTGTCTATGGACCTTCACAAATTGCTGTTGTATGAGTGTACCAGTTGATCTTTTACTGAAGTGGGAGTCTTCTAGTTCTTTATTTCTGTTTTAAAAAAAAAAAAAAAAAGGAAATTGCATGCATAACATAGTGTTAATGGTGAAGCTGCACACCAGGCACTCAAAAGTGCTGAATGAATGTCTATTGGCAATGTTAACATTCTAATATAACAATATTGGAGTTCTTCCTCATCTCAGGGAGGTTAGCCATCTTAAGTACTGTTTCCAGTAATGCAAAAAGTATTTCCAGAACTACCCAGACCTACCCCTAGTATGACATAGTTACAATTATTATATTATTGTAATATATACTCTGGGGAAGCAGGTTTATGGCTGAAGGAACATTCCCAACACTTTCTGATTTTTTGAGTGCATGCGTGTAGAGCTTTAACTGAGCATTAATATAGGTTATTGAATTGGATGTAATGGAAAATTCAACTTTATTTTTAAAAAAAGAAAATGGTATCTTAAAGGTCCTAAAGAGTGAATATGGAAGTACCATAACTTCTATTATATGACGAAGAATTTTTAGATCTTTTGGTTAACAGTTACAACCCAGTCAGCAGCGAAGATGAATCTTTCTAATCTTGTCCTGATATAACAGTGATAACAGCCAAATAGTTTGAGTGTCATGTATTGTTTCTGTTGTCTTATTTTTCTTCTGCTGTATATCAGAACATATCCTTCGGGGGGGGGGGGGGTTAGTATCAGTCCAGTGTCATTTAGCGTATTGGGTAGTAAAGTGAGAATAATCCTGTCTCTTTATTGTCAGATGTATTTTAAAAAAAGCTCCATCCATCACATATATTTCATTGTATATTGTTATCTTTGTTATCTGTGTACTCTATAATGTACAATATAAAACAAACATCATGTATCCTTAATGGAAAAAATGCATAAGTTCTGAAACTCTGTGTTCCAGCATGCTGGTTTTTTAGTGTTTATTTTCTAGTCTTTCTTCCATGCTGTGCAGCAGCAAACCTTTCTTTTCCTTTCCTCATTGGCAAAGGTCTTGCTACCCCAAAAGGTGGGTCTTGCATTATGGCCTAATGACACTCAGACTCATCTTGATCTTTAAATACCACAATCCAGGCATCCAGATTTTTAGCATGGACTCTATCAGTTATAATGCTTGCAAAAATATTGCTGGCCAGATGCCCTTGAAAGGGTACAGAACTGAATGGGGATCCAGTGGAACAAATGAGTTATTAATCTTATGTACAACTTTTGTATTTTCTTGCTTAAGAGCTGGGTGAGCCTTTACATCTTATCCAAGGTAGAACTTGAGTGTGGTCGTGATTGATGACTGTTAGACTTTTGGTCAAATGTTTTGTAGTCATCCAGCCTGGAGTGAAGGTGCTTGGTTGACTGGTATGAGGTGTTCTCTGAGAAGAATATTAACTAACCAGAGATGGAAGAGGGTGTTTCTTGATACTCTGGCATGTCTTGTGCATAGCAATAATATTGATAGTAACAGGACTCCATGAATGAACACCAGATTGAGAATGGGAGAGTACTAGGCCTTAATCAGGTATTTGATTTTAATTTTATCATTCAGATATTGTGTAATTCTGGGCTTATGTACTAGGAAATATATAAAATGGGATCTTATAATTTTATTGAACCTACTGGCACCTGTGGCCATGTTTAAGAGAAGATAGGTTGGACCCATGAATGACAGCAGAAGGGCAGCTGTCTGTCTTTTATTTGTCTATTATAACGTCCATCACTGTTTATAGAACAGTGTCTTATGACTTTTTTAGAAAGAATGGTTGACTTCAGCTTGGTGATGTTCTATATGCTCTTGCTATGTCTTAAATATAAAAGCACATGGGAGGCTGTTGGGAGCATGGACTGTAAGCATGGGTGTATATCCCCTGTCCATAGGAATAAGAGTGCTTTGTGTCTTGATCTGAATCCTGATTATGAAGGACTTTGGCATAGGTTAGTTTGGGGGTTTAGAATTACATGCTGTGCTGTTTTGTACCTAATCTATATGGTACAGTTTTTTTTACTGAAGCATTTTTCAAAATAGAACTTAATTTTCCTGCTTTACCTCTTGTGACTAGAAATGCTCCCTTCCACTTCAGCTGTGAAGTGTTTTGTTGGGGGAAACTTGCACTCCATGAGCTTATTTTGTTCATGTTTTAAGATGAATTGGAGAGACTTCAATCTTGAGATTTTCATATGGCATCACCTACCAATGCTGAATTCATGCTTATATTTTAAAATTTATTATCTGTGCTGTTGGATTCTGCGCCATCTCTGTGCTGTTTTTTTTTCCTTGACAGTATGCTCAGGGAGAGGAGAGTATGGGGGATGAATAGGAATCATATGAAAAATGCAGGATAGTCAGAGGTTTCAAAGATGAAGTGCTACCTTAGTTTATGATTTAATAGACTACACTGGGGTGCTGCACCCCAGCATGTGGGCTAGATCCAACTCAGAGTCTCATAATCCAGTCTTCAGGTCTCCCCACAGGTCCAGAAACATGACAGTGGGGGAACAGTGGTAATGAACATTGCCACCAGTTACCCACTGTCAAATTTCCAAGCTCCATGTGTCTGGATTGGCCCCAGCTGGGCCAGCCCTGCACAGAGGGATTGGACCTCATTCCCGCACAGTTGCATCCAGTCATGGCCCTTGCAGCCAAATGGGGCCTGACACAGCTGCATCAGGCCCCAGCCAGGCTGTTCCCACTAGCTTCATCGGCCCCTGACTGGGTCCACACTGCACACTGTCAAATTGACAGACCTGGTTCTGCCTACCTGGCCCATGGGTCAAAAAGTTGGGCACCATTGGGCTACTCTGTATGTAGCTTTTAGGATATAGCGTTCCATATTCTAACTATGGATGTTGGATACAAATGGATATTGGATACAAATCTCTATTCCCTTTGCAACATGCTTTAAAAAGCTTTGTAAATTCTTTGAATAAGTGAAGTTTTAATATATCTATATGGATATAGATATTTCTTCAGTCTTCACGTTTAGTAAATAATCACTTCTGAGCCCGTGAAGTAGAATTAGTTTATCCCCTTATTATATCGTATTTAAGTTTTGGCTCTCAGCATTTTATTGATTTGCAAGTGTAAATTCCAGTTACTGAGTAATAATAACCAGGATACCTATGATAAGCTAGTGAAAAACATGATGAAGTGTAGTAGAGGTGCACCGATATATCAGTTGCATATTTGATCGGCATCAATAAAAGTAAAATGAATGTTATCAGCTGTCGGCTTTTTTTGGCTGGTGCAGCCGATAACGTTCACTGATAAATATAATGTGCCTTCTGGTCAGGGCCCCCCAAACACCATGTGCATGCACACAACCACACTTATGCATGTGGCCAGGAATGCAGCCAAGCAGTGTAGAGCCAGTGCCTTGTAGGTAAGAGGGGAAGGGGTGTGGGGAGGGGTAGATCAGGGCCCCCACAGTGAGGGAGGGAGGGAGTGGAGTGGAGTAGGGGCAGGGCTGGGGTGCTGCCCAGCTAGGGCAGTGAATGGGACCCAGGGCCAGGACAGGGAGCTGTGGGAGGCTTGTGCAGGGGATTAGGGGGTGGGGGGGGCTCCCTGCTGCTGTGCACACCCCCATGTGTGGGAGGCATGGGGGGGCATGTGCCCCCCAGATTTCTGCGCATGGTGGATGCAGGCTGCTTACTGTGGGTTGCGGCGCTCTGCTGTGCTGCCTTTCCCTCGGGAGCCCGTGCCAGCTACACATCCTCTGCCCAGCCAGCAGCAGTGGAGGTGGTGAGTTGTGCCTGCTGGTGCAGGGCCCCCAGAGCAAAGGCAGCAGGGTGGAGAGCTCTGAGCCTGCAGTGAGCAACCCACATCTGCCCTCACCCTGCTTGGCTTGTTTCCGGTTAAAAAAGTCCCTGTGCTTAAAAATGGTGGCAGTGGCACTTGAACTAAAGCTCATTTAATGAGTTTTAGTTCAAGTGCCCCTGCCGCCATTTTTAAGAGCCAGGATGCTAATTTCCTGGATGAACTGCCCGCAGCTCTGTCTTGCTCCCTACTGTGGGTCGCATCACCATAGCTGAGCAGTGCCTCCAGCCCCTGCTCCACATCTTTCATCACTGTGTGGGGGACTTGATTGGCCTCTGGGGATGACCTGGTGGGGGAAGTGTTAGTACAAGGGAGGCTAGGGGACAGTGATCATGTAATGATTCAGTTTGCTATTCAGAGAAAGGTGGGGAGGGTAACTAGCACAGCGCAAATGCTTAACTTTCGGAAAGCCAACTTCGATGTGCTCAGGGCAGTAGTCGGGGAGACACTCGGAGCCCAGGGGGTAGCTAGTATGGGGGTCCAGGAAAGGTGGTCCTTCCTTAAGGAGGCTATCCTTGGGGCGCAGCAGGATGCAATTCATCTGTGCAGGAAGGCGGGAAAAGGGTCCAAGAAACCTTCGTGGCTGAGCATGGATATCTAGGCTGGCCTGAAGGCAATGAAAAAAGCATACTGGCAGTGGAAGCAGGGGGCAGAGACAAAGGAGGAGTACACCTCCCTGACCCAAGCTTGTAGGGATTTGGAGAGGAAGGCTAAAGCAGCACTGGAGCTTAGATTAGCTTCTGGGATTAAGGATAACAAAAAGTCCTTTTTCAAGTATATAGGTAGCAAGAAGAAGTCTCGGGGTAACATTGGACCCCTACGGGACGGAGCGGGGCAGGGCAGGGCAGTTGGTGATGGACGCGTGAGAGAAGGCAGAACTCTTCAACAAGTTCTTTGCCTCCATGTTCCTGTCCGCTGACAACGGAGTGCTCTTGGGTGATAGCGTAGAGAGGCCCAGGAAGGATGCAAGTCCCCCGACTGTTAGTTCAGACCTAGTTAAGGACTACCTGGAGGGCTTAGATATGTCCAAGTCGATGGGCCCGGATGACCTTCATCCGTGGGTGCTGAGGGAATTGGCTGGTGTCATAGCGGAGCCATTGGCATGGCTGTTTGAGGACTCCTGGTGCTCGAGCCAAGTCCCTGAGGACTGGAAAAGGGCCAATGTGGTCCCTATTTTCAAGAA